TTCTAGAGTCCTTCTAAGGCCAAAAAAAAAAAAAAAAAGTAATTTGAAATTAACTGTATTTAAAGTCACAAAGTCCGTCTAACATACTAGCAATGGAGAAATGTTACGTGGCTGGGGAATGTACTTAAAGGTCCTGTAGACAATCCCGGAGGAGCTGCCTTATAAAACTGTTAGGGATGAAAAAAAGTTCCTAGTGTTTGCAGGTTTGGGTCATCGCTGAGACGTTCACATACCCAGCACAGTCCAACCGGCTGAACGGCTTGGTGCAAAACCCACACAGGCCGCCAGGTTCGGGCGAGCAGTAGCCGCTTTCGCACCTGGCAACTCTGCCCGGAAACTGCATGGCCACCACAGTTCTGGAGTGCCAGCTGAGAGCTCCGCGTCCCGGCTTTGAACCAGAGCCAAAAACTCCGCCAGGAGCCGTGCGTACAGGCATGGGGCTAGCGTGCCGCGTTCAGCGTGCGTGCTCTAGCGCCTGCGCGCTGTCGTCTTCGCGCCTGTATGCAGCTTCTGCCGGGCGAATCCGCCTTCCCGCCGTCTCGTCACTTCCGGCGGGCGCTCAGCGTCATTGGTGTCATCACTTCCTGCCGGTACCGGTGTGGACGGTACGGGTCGTGGCCGCCGGTTCTCCGCTTCTCCCCTTCCCCTACTCTCCTCCCTCCCTCCCTTTCCCTCCCTCGGCGGCGGTCGGTCGCCCGTCGCGGACTCCCTGACCCGTCCTGACCTTGGGGCTACAGGATTGGCCTTTTCCTGTGCCCCGGCCCAGCGTCAGTGTCAGGGCGGGGGCCTTGAGGAGCCGGAGGCGCTGCCACAGAGAAGAGAAAAGACTAGACGACCCTTCGGCTCTACAGCCGGATCGCTAGGCTCGCCGCCGCCATGGCGATGAGGCAGACGCCGCTCACCTGCTCCGGCCACACGCGGCCTGTGGTGGATCTGGCCTTCAGTGGCATCACGCCTTATGGCTATTTTCTAATCAGCGCTTGCAAAGGTGAGCGGGGCCGCTAGTTGGGCCCCTGATGGCTGAGGTCGGGCGGAAAGCGAACTAGGTTGGCATCCCCATTGCCGAACGAACTGCGGCTCTCGCAGCGTTTGAGGTTAGGGCCCCACGGCGGGCTGATGGGGAGAGGAATAGTTGTTAGGGCTCCCGCAGCTGACGCCAAGAGAGGCTTTGCTAATGCCCCTAACGAAGGCTTCTCAGTTTACCTTTATTGCTATTTCTGGAGAAGCTGAACTGTGCGCTTGCTTAGACGTCCCGGCCAACAAACAGTGTAAATATCTCTCAAGGATTTGGCAGAATGTAGCAACTAGGCCAGGCCTTATTTTACGAAGACGTAGCACTCCTATTATCTCATTGAATAGTCTTTTGTCCTATGGAATTTTTCATTTCCTTTTTCCATCTTTCAAATGGAAGCTGTATGTGTGTGGGTGTGTGATGGAAGCTGAGATTTATGTTAAGAAGTTTGCCCAAAATAAGACTCAAATCTAAATTGTTTTGATGCAGGTCAATCTTTTCACCTAGTTACAAATGCTTCCCCGAGAGAATGTGCGGCTGGGTTCGTCATTGAATTTATTTCTGAACGATCCTTAGTGACCCCAGTGAGTGAGAATAGTTCAGAAAACAAAAGCAATTTCCACTTTGTTTTTCAATATGATCGTTTTATGTTTGAGTCTTAGATTTTAAGTCCTCCGAACTTCTAAGTCACATGTCGTCTTCAATATTTTTTAGATGGTAAGCCTATGCTTCGCCAGGGAGATACAGGAGACTGGATTGGAACATTTTTGGGTCATAAGGGTGCCGTTTGGGGCGCAACATTGAATAAAGATGCCACCAAGGCAGCGACAGCCGCTGCAGATTTCACAGCGTAAGTGCAGCCAGAAATGGCCACTTTCGGAGTTCTCTGTGGATTGTGCTCTGAAATGGTCAAAACGTCGTTAAAGGTTACTCGTGAAATTCTCACTGCCTTCCATATGGAACACCCCGTGTTTGATCTCACCAGAATTCCAACCTGATCCTACCTGCTTCATTCTCTTAAATGGTTCTCAAACTGTTCACAGAGACTCAAATGACTTCATTCTGTGTTAGGGTGAAATCTAAATTGTTCTTAATTTTTCCCTTGCATCTAGATTATTATTATCATTTTTGTCGATTCCACCAGCAGAATGTCTGCTGATGACATTATTCCTTATGGCACTGCCATCTTAGTTCAGGTCTCTACCACTAGTCGTTTCCCATCTGTTCATCCTCCCTGGTGCTGACAGTTGTCTTCCTGAACACAAATACCATCAGGTCACTTCTCTAGCTAATGCTTTTCCTGTCTTCCCTCTGCTTTGTCAGTGATCCCTGACCTTGGGTGTACATTATTAGAAGCTTTTAAAATACTCATGTACATATTGGTCTGGGGATGGGGGTGGCGGGGGGAGCGATAAAGTCCCCAACAACACTTTCCTTGCCAGAAGTTCTTGGTGATTCTGATGTGCAGCCTTTAATCACCCGCCTAAAGGTTAAATTTCAGTTGTTGCCTCTTTACACTTTGGCCCATCCTAGTTCACCATCATCATCTGCACTGCACACCCTGTGCCCCACAATCTGGTTATACTCTTTGTTGCCCAAATGGACCTTCCTTAAGCTGATTTTTGGCTTTTGCATATGTTATTAACCTGACTTGCCAATGACCCACTTTCCCGTCTGCTCATCTGTATCATATCTTATATAACCTTGGTACCCCTACTTCCTAATGTTTGTGACTTAGCAGACACTTAAATGTTTTAAGGAAGACAACATCAAGGGTTGTTGTACATGCAGTAGAGTGTTAGAGTTGAGAGTCTCAAAATGAAAGTGTTTAAAAAATTTTACACTAAGGAGCAATTGTAAATGTGTTTGTTGCGCCTTTGTATTAAGCAAATTAAACATACTAGGTTTATTATGAAAAATGAAGGCAGATTGATTGAGGTGGTGCATATATAACTATATGTTTGTTGAAACTTGTAGAGCTCTATGCCATAGAGTGAGTTTTACAATACATAATTTTTTAATAGAATTTTTAAATAAACAGAGATAAAGTCCATGGTCATGTGGGGTTAAATTTGAGATGATGAGAGATCAGTAAGAAAAGTTAAAATGTCAGTTTGAACTTTTTTCTTTGCCTTCAAGGAATAGATGTGTTAGGTTTATGCATAGCCATGATAAGGGTTTGTGCTCTGCCCTGTTGTGATTCTATGCAATTCTGATAAAATAAGGAACTACTTGGTTTTATGTAAATCCTTTAATGTCAAATGTTGCTTTAGAGGTCAGCATGCATGCTTATAATGTGACAGACTCCTTTGTTAATTATGGGATGTGAAAAATAGGAAGCAAAAGTGATTCTCACACAAGGAAGATTTGTGGAGGACTGGAAGGCGAGGGTGTCCATTCCCTCTTTTTGCTCACACTGCCGGCTGTGTTAAACTTCTGGCTCTTACAGTACTTATTGACTTATGTGTTGTTGCTTCTTGAGGCCATGGGCCATGTCTTATATTTTTTTGTATACCTGGCTTGTTCAGCACTTTGTCAAACAAATAACTTAAGGAAGTTTCTGAAGCAGAAGGAACTAAGAATGGATGAATTAGAGATCTTGGTTTTGTTTCTGAGACATTTATGTCTCCTGTGAGTTCAACCTATTTTTTTTTTTCTTTCAATTTCTCCAAAGTTTATTTTTTGCTGAGTCCACTAGGAACATTGTCATTGGGAGAGAATGTCATTGGTTTCATAACAGAGATAGAAAATTGAAATTAACAACTCTGTGTGTGTTAGTCGCTCAGTTGTGTCCGATCTGTGACCCCAGGGACCGTAGCCTGCCAGGTTCTCCTGTCCATGGAATTCTCCAAACAAGAATACTGGGGTGGGTTGCCATTTCCTTCTCCAGGAGATTTCAGATATTTGTTAAGTGGATTTTAAAAATGTCATTATTGAAACTAGGTCTCCAGTTTGCTAAGTTAATAGTTAATAAAGTGATATTTTAAATTAAATTTGATTGGGTAAAATGTAACAAGATCTTAGACACTACAGACATTAGAATTAAAATAGACGATCTTTTAAATTGCATTTCTGGAGAGATTCATTTCTGTTAATCTCAGTTCTGCTTTATCTGGCTCAAACATGAGTGCTAATGACATGAGCAAAATGCTCTGTCGTCTCTTGCCTGATGGACAGTCTTGCTCTGATCTGAGACTTGTACAGAAGCTTGTTAAGAATGATACCCATCTCTGTAAAATCTGTGAAGACCTGATGCACATTTGACAAATTGTAATGCCAGCCCTTAGGAAAGAAATGAAATGCATTAGATAGAAATTACTGCTCATGTGATAATTACTCTGAAATGGAGAGAGAAAAAGGTGTGAAAAATAGGTCACTTTAAATACTTAACAGAGTTCTGAAAAGAGTAGTCAAGATTTTATCTTGCTTCCAGAGGTACAGTTATCTTTGTTTTTAGGTCACTAACAGCGTTAATAACCCAAGTCATACATTTGAGGATGTTTCTCTGTATAGGTATTCAGTGTTTTTTTGGGACTTTCTTAACATTTCAGGTCTTAGTGTCTGTGTTTACACGGGGTTATTAAAAACATGAATGCTGGGGCCAGGTTGTGTTTGAACACTGGCTCCATCCTTTAATAGCTCTGTGATCTTGTGAACTTTATTTAACCTCTCTCTTTTGCAGTTTCATCATCTATAAAAGTGAGAATAGCAATTGTGCCTACCTCTCGTCGTGAATGGGCTTCCCTGTGGCTCAGCTGGTAAAGAATCTGCCCGCAACTTGGGAGACCTGGGTTCAGTCCCTGGGTTGGGAAGATCCCCTGGAGAAGGGAAAGACTACCCACTCAAGTATTCTGGCCTGGAGAATTTCATGGACTGTATAGTCCATGGGGTCGCAGAGTCGGACACAACTGAGAGACGTTCATTTGTTGTGAATATTAAATGAGTTGATATGTTTATATTTAGCATATTACCTGAAATCTAGTAGCTATGTAAATGCTAACATGTGTAAGGTAACACTGATAGCTACCACCCCAACAGACCAAAATCATGTGTTCTTTTGGAACATCTATGGCTAAAGCCAAGAAACCTTTGGGTTTCATGCAAGGAAGTTCTAGTAGATCTAAGTAGCAAGAGGGAATACTTTTGGGTTTTTTCCCTCTCAGTTCAGGCTTTCAGGTGCCATGATATAGTGGGAAAGATGTAAGCATTTGCATTAAGCAGGCTTCCCTGGTGACTTAGTGGAACCTGCGCCAATGCAGGAGACATAGTTTCCATCCGAGGGTCAGGAAAATCCCCTGGAGAAGGAAATGGCTACCCACTCCAGTATTCTTGCCTGGGAAATCTCATGGACAGAGGATCCTGGTGGGTTACAGTCCATGGGGTTACAAAAGAGTCAGACACAACTGAGCAACTAAACAACAAGGCCTGAGTTCATGTGCTAGCCATACTTTGTATTTTCAGTTTGATCATGAGATGTTTCTTAAACCTCTTGTTTCATATTTGTCAAATGAATGTAAGCCAGGTGTGGTTTGGGGGCAAGTCAGAGAGACTTTTTTCCACTTACGTGCCTGAATCTAGCCTCGTGTCTGTTGCATAGCAGGTGCTTGGTTAGTGGGAGCTGAGACTTAACCCTCATTTGTTGTGTGTCTGTCTGAAGTGTGGGGATGTATGCTTCCTTTCTTTATATTCTCACTTAATGACCTGTATGGGCTCTGCTATTATGGAACTTGACCCAGTAAAGAAGAGCTCCTTAGTGTAATTTTAGGTGTCAAGTTTATCAAAAGGAGAATTTTGTCTGTTTTTCTTATAGAGAAAGTATACTCAGCAGGGCTGGTCCGTGTGACAGTTTGGAATGTTATCTTGAGGTAATTTGGGCAGGCAGCTGAAAAGTCAGCTGAAACTGTCCCTGAAACAGCATTCTCTTTATATCTTTTAATTCATAGAGCTAATGTTACCACCACATCTCCTGATCCTCTTTTTTTTTTTTGTCTTCTTGTAAAAAGCCCACAGGAAGAGCTAAATTTTCTCTGAATAAGGTTCTCAGTAAATCAAAGGTGCTATTGTCTCCTTTTTGATGGCTTGGCCGTCATGTTAAGACAGGCAGTCATTTTCCCGAAATAGCTTAATTTTTTGTTAAGGCCTTAAAGAAGTAAGTTAAGCAGCCACTCTTTTGAGACTGGTGAGTCCTTTCTCAGAATATGAAGAGTATTGAACAGATAGCATTGATCACATGCAGAAAAACTGGGGACATAAGAGGTATCACTAGTTCATGAAGATGGCAGGTACATCTTGAGTTGTACAGAAATGAATGCTATAGGATCAGCTGTTGAGAGGGTATTGTTAATGATGTTTCATTAAGCATCTTCCTTTATGGACCCTTCCTGCCATTTCTCTCATGGGAGCTCTGTGGAGGATGTCCTTTCCCCTGCTCTGATTTGATCCCTGTAGCCAGCTAGTTAATAACCGGTTTCTTGCCTGGAGTTTAGGTTATTCCAGGTTCCTTTTAGGATTCTAAGCTGTTTTTAGGACTCTTATTGTGAATAATGTAAATGTGCCAAAGTTAGTACAAGTGACTAGAACATGCTCTGTTGGGGAGTGTGGCACTCGATTTTACTAATGTATCTAAGTGGGAGGAAGGCGAGTGTAGATACGTTGGTCCTCTGGATGGTACTAGTACAGTCGCTCCAGTTGCCTCTGCAATAATGTATGGACATGATCTAAGCAGAATAATTAGATTTGGGGGAGTTTGGGGAAGATGACTGAATATCCTTGAAATTTGTATCTCTAAGGACATTGCCCAGTTTCTTTGAGACTTGAGAGTGTGTGAATAGGATAGAGATTTCAAGTATATTTGATATTTTCTTCACTTTTGATGTGCTTAGTTGCTCAGTCATGTCCGACTCTTTGCAACCCCATGAACTGTAGCCTGCCAGGTTCCTCTGTCCATGGGGATTCTCTAGGCAAGAATACTGGAGTGACTTGCCAGGCCCTTCTCCAGGAGATCTTCCTGACCCAGGGATCGAACCTAGGTCTCCTGCATTGCAGGCGGATGCTTTACTGTCTGAGCCACTTTGGAAGCCCTTTGATGCCTTCTGTTGTTATAGCAGTCTAATCTGTGTGAACTCTTAACACTGATTTCCCTGTGATTAAGAGTAAACATGTGGACAAAATTAAAAGTAAGGTAAAATTAAATGCAGTATAAGCTGAGTTCTGTGGAAGAACAGAAAGGAATGGTTGATGGAAGGGAGAAAAATAGAAGGTTTAGTGAAAAAATAGCATTAGTGATGACTCCTGAGGATGAGTAGAACTGATTTAGCCAAGAATGTAAAGTTTGTTGCTTCTGCTTAGTTGCTAAGTCGTGTCCAACTCTTGTTGTGACCCCATGCCTTTGTCCATGGGATTTCCCAGGCAAGAATACTGGAGTGGTTGCTATTTCCTTCTCCAGGGGGCCTTTCTGACCCAGGGATTGAACCCTTGTCTCCTACATTGGGAAATGGCTTCTTTACCACTGAACCACCAGGGAAACCTAAGATGATAAAAATACAGACCAAGTAGAACCCTATGAGCAAAGACAGAGGAGCCATGGCTTGTTTGAGGGATTGATTGTTCATTATCTGAGGTGACTAGATTCAGAGAAATAATCCAAAATGAGGTTGGGAAAGTAGGATTGGACCAGAGAGTTGAATTGGAAATGGGAGAGGGTGGAATAGGTTTCCTGTGCAAAGAGAAATTAACATTTGAGAGTTAGTATAATACCACTCACAGGTGACATTCTTTCTCTCAGAACATATTTACTCAGCCACTCATGACTCATGTCTATGATTTCCAAGATTTATATTGTATCATAAGTGTTTATTCCTGTTAGATGCCTCATGTTTCTTTAAGTTGCACATACTGTTACACTCCTCTACAATGTTTCTATTTTTTCCCCTGGTATGTTTCTACATGCTCTGTAAGACTACTGGTTTTGATGCTTAGATCTTCTGGACTTTCTGACATACATGGTGGTGTGGTTTTTGTTTGTTTTCTCTATATCCATGTGTGTTTGTCTTTTATTTCTTCTCTCTCTCTTTTTTTAAATTTATTTATTTGACTGCATTGGGCTGGGTCCTAGTTGAGGCACTCTGGACCTTCATTGTGTTATGCAGTATATTTCATTGTGACTCGCTGAATTAGTTGCTCCCCGGCTTTTGGGATCTTAATTCCCTGACCACAGATGGAGTCCATGTCTCCTGCATCGCCTGGCAGATTCTTAACCATTGGGCCACCAGGGAAGTCCTTTAATTATATTTCTTAAACGTATTATTTAATGTATATATACACACACACATATATATATATATATATTTTCTTCTTCTTCTTCTCTGCTAAAGCTAACACTTCTGAGGCAGGAACTTCAGGATCATGTTTTTTTCCTCCCTTTTGTGCCCTAGCACTGAGTCTTGAGTGACATACTTGATATGTTTATTCTATGTTTAATGAATGCTTTCTCTATTTTTCTTTTGCTTTCTCTGTTTCATTGTTCACTTTATTCCTAAAAATAAATGTCAGTTACATTAGAATGGAATTATTAGAATAATTATTATGGAGGGTAGCTTGTTCCTCATGACAATTTCTTTTTCCCATGTGGAAGGTTTTCTTGTTTATTTTTCAGTCACCTCTTCTGATCTGAAATGAACTTTTTTTCTTCTTTATTGTTCAAGCTTTTTTATTTGGGGGATCTTCTTAACAGTATTTCTGTGAACTGTTATTTAATCATTATCCCCCAGCATACACATACATACATATGTGTGAATAGACACACAACCACACATATACTTTGGGTTGGGATGGGTTTGTTGGAAAACCTACAGTTGAGAGATTTGAAAACCTACAATTAAAACCCTCAACATTAGCATTATGTAATCAAAGACTGATACTTTGTGTGGAAGTTAATTGGACTAGGATTTGAAAATTCAAGTCAACTTTGAGGAAAAGATGGGAGAGTATTTTTTTCTCTTCTGTCTTGATTGAAAATTTTATGTAATCTCTCGTCAAGGCTTTTTATTCTCCTGTAAAAAATTTTTAAAGTATTTATTGTTTTTCATCTCTTGATTCTCATGTATTATGAGTATAGACTAAAAAAATTGGAAAGGTGAAACTGAATTGGTTAAAATGTTTGCAGTCGTGTTATAAGGATATTATGGCTAGAGGCTAAAAGGAAAGTAAGGATTTCTGGTTCATGGGTCTTATTTACTTAAATTTGATCTTTTCCATTGTCAAAATTATATTGCTATATCATTTTAATCTTATACATTTATATAACATCTCAAATATCTAACTTATTTGGTAACTAATTATCAAAATTGCCATATGTTTGTCTTTTATGTTTTACTTTTAGCAAAGTGTGGGATGCTGTCTCAGGAGATGAGTTGATGACCCTGGCTCATAAACACATTGTCAAGACAGTGGATTTTACGCAGGTATTAGAAAGTGGAGTTTGTTTAGGGAGTTAAATTGCTGTTACTATAGGATATGGCTGTGGTTTTATATTTGATTGGTTTGTATTTAGTTCATGTTTGATTTTGTGGGGGAGTATTTTGTATATGGTGACTTACATTTGATTTGACTCTAGATTAAACTATATTCCTTTACAGTTGATTCTTGATTAACATGGTTTGAACTGTACAGGTCCACTTAACATGAATTTTTTTCAGTGGTAAATACTGCAGTATTACACAGTCTGCAGTTGGTTGAATCTTTGGATATGGAGGAACTGAGTGTGGGAGGGGGGACCACATATATAGAGGACTGACTATAATTGATATGTGGATCTTCCACTGTGTGGAGGATGGGTCCCTTAATCCCTGAGTTGTTTAAGTCAACTGTATTTCTTCTTGGTTGATCCTATGAGATTTTTAAGAACCCTGGAACTCTTGTATCAACAATAGCAACAAACATCTAAAAAACCCAAGTAATGTTTCCCAGTGACTTAGAAGGGAGAGGGTAAATTTGAGATCATCACAGTCACACTACTCAGTAGGCAGCGGAAGCTGAGCCAACTGAGAGAAGCCATGTGGTTGGTGGTGTGACCTTTGAACTGGGAAGCTTACAGGATTTGGCGATTATGAGAAAGATAAATGCTTTATAGTATTTTCTCAGGAATAATTGGTCTCTGTGCATCTCTTTGTAACATCTGTGAGCTTTATTTGCATTTTATGTAGTGTTGAAGAAGCTGCAAAGAGATATAACTATTAAAGTAGTTAATCTAATACCATTTTACTTGTATGTGTTTTCAGGATAGTAATTACTTGTTAACCGGGGGACAGGATAAACTGTTACGCATATATGACTTGAACAAACCTGAAGCAGGTAATTTTAGTTTATATGTATTTGTGGTTTTGTTTTCTTCTAATTTAAATAATTTTTCCTGATTAAAGGAATTCATGTTCAGTACTCAAATTAGGAAAATGTAGTCATAAAGAAAAAATTAAATTTTAATCCACCATCCAGTCCATCCCCACTCCCCACTCCCCCAGTCATGTGGCATCTTTTATTCCCTGACCAGGGATCAAACGCACACCCCCTGTATTGGAAGTGCAGTCTTGACCACTGGACCACCAGGAAAGTCTCCTCATCCAGGATTATTAATTAATGTCTTTAGTTTTGGGTTCATGTTTTTCCAGTCTTTTTTTTTTAATGCATGTATTTTTTAAAAATGGATTTTTAAAAATACTATCTTAAAAAAATTTTATCCTGATAGACTTTTATTATGACACTAAGTCTTAAAAGGTACATAATAGTGTTAATTACCTTTTGGTTAGAAGGAGTGGTTATTATCTGTAGAAGGTGAGAAGGGTAAGAATTCTCAATGTATATACATACTTGGATTTTTGAACCACATGGGTGTATCAGCTATTCAGAAGAAGGTTTAAAATCTGTAGTAATTTTTTCATGTCTTTAAATACTCTATTCATTCTTTCTAACGACTTGTGTGACTTTCCATTCTGTGGATAAGCAAACTAACCAATCTCCTATTATGGTCTGCTTGGGCTGTTTACAAATTTTAAAGATTATAAGCAGTATTGTGCTAAACATCCTTATAGTTGCAAATATTCCACAATTGTTTCTGTAGAATATCTACATAGAAATAGAATTGTTGAGACAAAAAGGAGATACACTTGGAAGCCATTAATAGATATTATTACCAAAGTGGCCACCAGTGAAATATAAAAATGTACCTTTAGCCAACCTGTTCTAGCAAACACTGATAACTAGCTTTATCTTTGCCAGTTTAATAGAAAAATTCTTAGTAATGTGAACTTGAAAAATAATTCATGAGGTTAAAATACTGTTGAATACCATTTTAATTTACTTATTATATACTAATTGGGTTCTTAAATTTTGTATTGTGGGCACTGTTTATTCATAAGTCAGTAAGCTTTGGGAGCTTATAACAAAGTCAAAGCTATGTTGGAAATTAAGCAGTTATCCTTGAGATACCTTTTCTATAGGTACTTCTAAGGTGAGGAAACAAACTGCATTTATGGTTTATTCTCCTTTGGTATCTGGGGATTAATAACTTTATGCTAAAACATAGCAGACTACTCTGACCTCACCAAATCAGTGTACCTTCTGACTCAGCAGGATAGTTCAAGGGTCTTCTTCCTTTCTCAGAGCTGCCTTTTGAAAGTGACTCTTCCACTGTCTTGCATTAGAAAGAGGAACTTTTACTCTGTGCGACAACAGATTAGAAACTTCAGGTGGTGGCTGCTATAATGTGTGCACGGTTTTCATCTGTGTCTGATAGCAGTGTCTGTCTGTGTTTTGCATTCAGCTCTTGCTATCCACACAAACATCATGCAGCCAAAGAGTAAGTTGGGATCATAGTACTGGTCTAGTGTTGTCTCTTTGGACCTGCCCACCACTGGCCAGCCTCCAAATTCCCACACACAAAACTTTGGGAATAGAGATTGTCGCTTCGGGGAATTTAATGTAAGATATCTGTAGTAACTTTCTCTTTTAAGTGGTGGTGCAGGGCAGGGGGAGCAGCTTTAAATGTTTTGATTCTTAAACTCTGAGGTACAGTAACTTGTTAATCCCAGTTTACCGAAGTGTAGTCTTCAAAAGGTTAAGTGGTTTGCCCAAAGTCAAAGTTGTGTTGAATGGTATTGCCTGCAACATCTGCTTTTGCCCAGACATAGCAAGTTTATTAACAATTGTGTTTTAAATTGTTTTATCTGAAGAACCTAAGGAAATCAGTGGTCACACCTCTGGTATTAAAAAAGCTTTGTGGTGCAGTGAGGATAAACAGATCCTTTCAGCGGATGATAAAACTGTTCGGTGAGTAATTTTTCTTTAATAATTTAAAGTTTGAAAATGTGTTTGACCTTGGAGCTTATTGTTAAGTTTTCTGTAACTATCATGTAGGAAGAATTGTGTCTGAACATTACAACTGTGGCTGCATCTGGGTCACATTTTTTCAGAGCTGTCTGCTATAAACATGGAGTGAGATTCACAAGACTCAATTAAAGCTATTGACATCTTTATAAAAGCAGGTGCTCTTAACCTGGGTGAATGGACTGCCTGGCCATAGCATGTCCATTATATCCCTGAAATTCTATACAAAGTTTTGTGAACTGTATTTTTCTGTGGAAAGATAGTTATCATTAGACTCACAAAAATAGAGTATGAGAACCTTTAGAGCAGTGCTGAAATTGATTAGATTAGGAGATATATCTTAATAGCATAATCACTTGGGAAGTATATTTAAAGTATTAGTTTTGACTTTACCAACAAGCTACCAAATAATTTGATGTTTCATGCGAAAGCCACATTTCTCAGTATCATCTGTAATTTGTGAATTGGAGTCAAGGTTGTTTTACTGCAGTTGTGGTTATTTTTTCATTGGTTAATCTGCAGGTGTAATTTAAACTGTAAGTATTTTTCTTAAGTGAGTAAATACCACCTTCTTTTGTTTTTTTATGCAGCCTGTGGGATCATGCTACTATGACAGAAGTGAAATCTCTAAATTTTAATATGTCCGTTAGCAGTATGGAATACATTCCTGAGGGAGAGATTTTGGTAATAACTTATGGACGATCTATTGCTTTTCATAGTGCAATAAGGTATGTCTGAGAAGTATCTTCATTTTCTTTCCTGGTAACAAAGGGGCAGTTTAGTGTACTTAACATTTGGAAGGCATGTACTAAGGTATTTAATGCTTTTAAAGGCAAATCTTGGCATATATGAGGTAATATGGAGGAAGATTGTTTCCATACCTAACAATAGTGAGTTTTTTGTTCTGTAGGCTTTAATCAGAAGAATTAATCAGATTAATTTCCAGGTGTTTGGGACATATATTGGTAAAATGTAACAAGTTTTCATGTATATTTTTCTTTAAAGATCCCTAGACTGATGCTATAATTTATATTGTTCATTACTCTAAAACCTCTGTGATCTTGATTCTGCCATTTCACTTTAAAATTTCAGAAAAATTAGTGATTTTTCTTTCTGTTTCCAAGTAGGGCATAGATTTAATGATTTTTTTTAAAAGCAGACTTAATTTTTATGACTATAAATATATTAAGTGCTTATGTTGGAAATTTAGAAAATATAATTTTGAAAAACTTGGGTATAATCCTGTAGCCATAGAACTAGAAAGTTACTGGTAGCTGTATTTTTTGCTAGTCTTTTTTCTTTGGGGTGTGTGTGTGTTTGTGTTTTTTTCTTTAGTTGCTAGGACCCTAATAAGTATAATTTTCATTTTTTTATTCTAAGATACTCTTAGACATTAAAATTCTTTGAAAACATTTTTACTAGGTGTATTATTATAGAGTCTGAGTGAGTGAAAGTCACTCAGTCGTGTCTGACTCTTTGCTACCCCATGGACTATAGAGTCCATGGGATTCTCCAGGCCAGAATACTGGAGTGGGTAGCCATTCCCTGCGCAAGGGGATCTTCCCAACCCAGGGATCGAACCCAGGTCTCCCTAATTGCAGGTGGATTCTTTACCATCTGAGCCACTGGGGAGGCATTACAGAGTCTACCACGTCACACATTAGTTTCCCTGTTGTAACTCTGCAGTGAGATTTATGATACATCTCTTGCATGTTTCTTCACAAGAGAATCTGTCAGTAGAATTACCAGTTCAGAGGTCAGGAATGTTACGGCTGGCACAGTCTGCAGCCTGCGTGCAGCTTTGTCGCCTGCCTCTGCCTGCCCATCCCAGCCCCAGACAGGAGCCTCCCACACACTGCACTGCTCTTGGGTGGGTAAAATCACAGAGAAACATGAGTGGATAACAACAGAAGATGGTGTTGGAATAGTTGGGATCAACAATTTTTCACAGGAATCTTTGGGAGATGTTTAGTCTGCCTGAACTTGGAACAAAGTTGAACAGACAAGATGAGCTGGTGCTTTGGAAAGTGTGAAAACTACTGGTGAGCTCTGTTCTCTATCAGGAGAAGTAAGTGAAATTAATGAAGCTCTTGCAGAAAAGCCAGGACTTGTCAACAGATCTTGTTATGAAGATGAGGGCCACACTGAGTAACTCTCCAGAATTCAATGAACTGATGGGTGAAGAAGCATGTGAGAAATAGAGAAAATCTACTGAGGAGTAAAAATGGAACCCCTGAATAAACTCGTTTAAACAAAACAGAGGGTCGGAATGTGTTTAAAGTTCCCAGTGTACATACCACTTATTTGATTTCCATAAAGAATGTACCACATTATATTCTGACCAGCAGTCCTGACCTTTTCTCTGTAAAGGGCCACTTGCAGAGCTGAGCTTCACTGAATGGCCGAAAAAATGAGAAGGCAGTCAGGATGGAGATGAGCAATTAAGAATGCTAGAGAGTTCACACACACACACACAAACACACAGTGAATTGATAATAATGGAATGTTACTGCCCAAAACCATTAAATTGTGCAGCTGAGTTCATTGGTTGCTTCTGGACTCAGGCAGCGTGCAGCCCTGCTGTAGAACCTTGCCTGAAATGGTGGTGGAGGAGGTTTCCTGGCCTATTAAATATTCTGCCATTTAAGCCAGAAAGTTGCTATTCAGTGATCCTGCATAAGTCATGACTAACTTTCATTTTCATGCTTTGTAGCGTGTGATGATGGGAGTAGGATGGCAACATTTTGGAGCTGAAATGCTCTAATGTTTTGTGTTGGAAGCGTTTCAGGATTTTTAGGGTTAGGCTGGAAAAGAGCCGGTGCCCAAATTCATTGATATTCAGGGGAAGCTATTGTTATGCATTGATTTTTATTACGTAGCTCTAGTCTCAGATTTGGTTATTATTTAATAGCCTGATAAATAAAACTGAGCCATTTTGAGCAGTTTTATGTTTAACAGCATTAAAGCTTTTTCCTTTGCAGAAACATAAAAGTTCTCAGTAACTGAAAAATAATATACAAATACTCCTTTATATTAATTACTTGCTGTAAAAACTTCTATTTACAAAGATAATGCATGTTTGTCCTGGAAAAATTAAACAAAGCAGAACTAAATTTTTTTTTTTCAAAGCAAAAATCCTAATATATTAGCCATACTGTTTTCATTAGCCAACCTAATCATTTCCAGGAAGGCATTCACTGCACAAAATAGATATCCCTCTATGGAAGGGGCTGTGTATTTTGGGGATGCATTTCACTGGGGCATAGTAGCCTTCTGTTTTTTTTCCCCCTAATATTATTTAGATGTGTTTTTGTTTGGTGTTTTTCCTCTTTTAAAGATTATAGTTGATTTTTAAGATTTAATTTCTGCTGTGCAGCAAAGTGATTCAGTCATACGTACACATTCTTTTTTATATTCTTTTCCGTTAAAGATTTATCACAGGATATTGAATATATTTCCCTCTGCTCTACAGTAGGGCCTAGTTGACCCATTCTCTGTATAATAATTTGCATCTGCTAACTCCAGACTCCTACTCTCCCTGCCCCATCCCCCAGCCCCCTTGGCAACCACCGGTCCATTCCCTGTCTGTGAGTCTGTTTTGTAGATAAGTTCATTTGTGTCATATTTTAGGTTCCACATATGTGATACCTTATGGCATTCGTCTTTCTCTTTCTGACTTGCTTCACTTAGTATAATAATCTCTAGTTCCCCCATGTTGCTACGAGTGACATTATTCATTTTTATGGTTGAGTAGTATTTTGTATTTATGTACCACATCTTCATTATCCATCCATCTGTCAGTGGCCATTTAGTTTCTAGGTCTTGGCTGTTGTAAACAGTGATGCTGTGAACATAGGGATGCCTGTATCTTTTTGAATTATAGTTTTGTGTGGATACATGCCCAGGAGTGGGCTTGCTGGATCATAATGGCAACTGTATTTTTGGCTTTTTGAGGAACCTCCATACTGTTCTCCATAATGGCTGTACCAGCTTACATTCCCACCAACAGTGTATAAGGGTTCCCTTTTTTCCACACCTAGAGGGTTGTTTTTTTTTTTTTAGCAGCACTTTGTTATTCAGTCACTGCTCCGTGTTTGACTCTGTGACCCTGTGGACTGTAGCCTGCCATGCTCCTCTGTCCTCCTCACATTTGTCAGTATGTTTGACTAAATGGATATTGGATTAGTCCTTAAGTTTTAGAATTTAGGAACATTTTAAATGTAACATCATTTCCTCATATTATTTATGAAATATTCAAAACTTACAAATATTATTTTTTTTCTAGTTTGGACCCAATTAAATCCTTTGAAGCCCCTGCAACCATCAATTCTGCATCTCTTCATCCTGAGAAAGAATTTCTTGTTGCAGGTGGTGAAGATTTTAAACTTTATAAGTATGATTATAATAGTGGAGAAGAATTAGGTAAGTTGTCTTTTTTTTTCCTTAAGATTATGTAGGTACCTTGGTCAAAGGTTAGGTTTCAGTGATTAACACCTCAGTTAGCCATTTTTTAGCTTCTACTTGCTTTCTAGCTATCCTGCTTTACAGTCCAATGAATTTAAGCTTGTTAGAATTGTACACAGAATAAAACACAATTTCGTTTTGTTTCTTCGGGAAAACTGATGGATTGTGTTGGGTAAATGGAATCTCAGTGAATACACTATATTTTAATTGTTCAGTGTTCATAATTTATTGGTTGAATATTAAGTGACTTAAATAGAGATTCTTTCCCATTGTTTTTATTTAATGTCACTTTTCAAGTTTTAGAATATTTTGGCCACATGTTTTATTCTCTGAAGGAGAGAAAGTAAATTATTTGTGGGGTATCTGAGGTTACAATTAGTGAATACAGAACCTTGGATGCAGATATTCTTATTTCAAAATCTCAAATTCTTTCTACTCTTATGATAATTTTTTATATTCATGATAACACAGTCATGATATTCCCTGGGAGAAGTTAGTGCATGAATGTCTCTTGAGTTGAGTGGACATGGAGACAGAATAAGAACATTGGTCTAGTAAACAGTTTTGAAAACTGGTAAGGTGAGGAAGCATCAGAAAGTAAGTGAAAAAAGTCCGGAAATAATGATATGCCTTTAACAGAATAACACCACTACTAATGTGTACATTTTCTCATTAAACTCTATATAGAATCAGTATTGATCCTTTATCTTCTTACTCTCTGTGATGGAATGACTAGTGGACTCCAGCTCGTCTGCTTCGAGAGTACGAGAGGCAGAGTGTGTAAAAGAGCTCCATCTGGTGGTTCTCTGTAGGCATAGTAAGAGTTGCTTCCCTGGTAAATAGGAAGTGAGTTTAGGATTTGAAAATGGGGATTGAGTTGATAGGCTTTAGACTTGAAGGTAGGGTGTCGTTTACCTCCCTTTCTTTATCTTTTTTCTGGTTTGTTTTAAAAGAGATTTCTAGATGTCTTTTTAAAATTTATTGTTTTTGGCTGTGCTATGTGCAGGCTTTTCATCTAATTGTGACAAGCAGGGGCTCTTCTCTGGTTGTGGTGCTTGGGCTTCTCATACTGGTCTCTCTTCTTGGAGAATATGATCTCAGTAGTTGCGACTTGTGGACCCTAGGGCTTTGGCTCAGTAATTGAGACACACAAGCTTAGTTGCCCTGCTGCATGTGGAATCTTCCCGGATCAGGCATCAAACCCACATCCTCTGCTTTTTGCAGGCAGGATTCTTAAGCACTGGACTATCATGGAAGTCTCCTTTATTTTAATTGGAACATGAAGTCTTGTTTTTTTGTTTTGTTTTGTTTTTTTATGATGAGAATCATTTTAGTTTTAATTCGGTATAGTTCTTTGACTTTGCCCTCAGAAATTTCACATCCTCTCTAGTGTATCAAGACTCAATGTCCTGTTTAAGTATTAAATTATCTAATACCCTTGTCTTTCTCAGAATCCTACAAAGGACACTTTGGTCCTATTCACTGTGTGAGGTTTAGTCCTGATGGAGAACTCTATGCCAGTGGTTCTGAAGATGGAACATTGAGACTGTGGCAGACTGTGGTAGGAAAAACATATGGCCTTTGGAAGTGTGTGCTCCCTGGTAAGAATTTTTATTCATAATTTTGTATCATTTTTCATCATTGATTCTGTCTCTCTGTCTTCTATAGAATAAGGTTTAAGCGAAGAGTAGCCTGATGAATAAATCATCCATTAATCTCTGAATAACATTACTTATTGATCCTTACTAATAAAGTAGACATGTTAATAAAAATACTGTTATTGATCCCAAGTCGTTATAGTTTGGATCTAAAAGTATGAATCTGAAAGATACACTATTTTAGAATTACAGTTATTAAAAAAGGTGTTTTGTAGTTTATTGCTTGCCATAGTCTTGGTGTACTCTTCTTAACTGTTAAAGCACTAGAACTTGCTCATGACATTGTAATTCATGTAACCGTTGTTGCTCTTCTTTTCACAGAAGAAGATAGCGGTGAGCTGGCAAAGCCCAAGATCAGTTTTCCAGAGACAGCAGAAGAGGAGCTAGGTAAGCGGCAGCGGCTGGCGCCTGTAGGGGCGTGGGGGCGGACGCGCTGGCGGGCTCACTGGCGGGTCTGTGCGGCATGAGCGTGCGCAGACCAGAGCGGGTTTACCTATGTGTGTGTTATATGTACATGTGAATACACAAAGAAATCGTTTTAAATACCGACTTCATGGCGCTAGCCACGGAGATGTATCATGGAGGTGACTGATATGGTTCCTCTTCAAGGACTTAGAGTTTGACTTAGGAGGCAGATGCTGAAGTAGACTGTTGCAGTTGTAATTTTTACACAACACTTGTTAAGAACCAAGTGCTCTTTCCCAAATATAGAATTACAAGTTGTAATGTGCTCTGATCAAATATAATATTGATTGAAATTCAAATCAATAAAGGAGGGAGCCAGATCTTCAAAAATCTGACTTATAATTCAGTGTTTACTAGACAGTTGAAGTCACTGAAAATGTAGTCCCAAAGAGAACCCCCCTGGAGTGGAAGAGTTTGATGGGAAATGGTCCAGTCTCTCCTCGCTGCTTCTTAGTGGCCTGGGTTCTTGTTTGTGGCATGTGCTCTTTTGCCTCCCCTCACTAGCACGTTTGAAAAACTTTTTCATTCTTTCCTTAATCTCACAGAAATATAGAGTGGCTTCTTTCCTCCCTTAAGTCAACTAATGAGACTTTCTGTTTTTGAATTGTAGAAGAAATTGCTGCAGAGAATTCAGATTCCATCTATAGTTCAACTCCCGAAGTTAAGGCCTGAGCATCAGGCACATGCCGCAGACAGTACACAACTTACGGACTAAACAAGCAGAGAAAAGCGTCCGCCTCCAGAGTTACTCTCTGCTGACAGCAACATGAGCAGTATATAATGAGGAATACGAATTAGCTCCAGTGCTGGAACTAACCTACTTGGTGATACCTATGAGTGAGAACACAAGAGTATCAGCTAAAGGCTGATGGAGTTATGGTCTTATAGTGTGATGGTCTGTTGTCTTTTTAATGAGTATGTGTAAGCCAACATCCAATTTCTCTTATTACAATTAGATTTCTTGTAGCTGTTTATGTTATTATGATGAGGGAAAATATATTGGCCTATTTTTCTGACTTTTCCCTTAAAAGCAGAAAGCTTTTTTTTTTTTTGCTTTAGTTATAAAGAAGAGGGAATACATGATAAAGTAACAGTTTGATTTCTCTTATTGTACACTGCTTCTGAACATCTAATTGTTTTTAGTTGTCTCAATAAAATGGCTCTAAAACAATGCTGCGTGTGTTTCTTGGGGAAATTGATAGATTTGAGTAGTTGGGATGTTTTGGCTGTGCTGGGTCTTGGCTGTGGCACTTGGGATCATTTTTTCAGTTGCAAATACAGGCTCCTAGTTGAAGCACGTGGGATCTAGTTTCCTGACCTGGAATTGAACCCGGGCCCCCTGCATTGGGAGTGTGGAGTCTTAGCCACTGGACCCCTGGGGAAGTCCCCATAGATTGTAGTTTTATAAATGGAAATGGCCAAAAAGTTTCTCTATATCATATCAAGAGACCACCCAGTTAAAGAATCTGTAGTGAACAGAAATTGCTTCCTGATTTTGAAATTCAGTTACTTGTACTGGATTTTTGAAGTCTTCATGAGCTTTGGTAGAGTTTTATATACCTTTCTCCCTCCTAGATTGGACAGAAATGCTTGAACTACCTTTTAAGAAAACTTTCAGGGAAAAAAATGACTTATTTAAATGATAGATACTTGTTATGAGGAACAAAAGTTCAGAATTAGCAGAAAGATAGCAGAAAAATCATGCAAAATCCCACTAGCCCCTAAAATCTATTAAAATTGATCATAGCACATTAGTATACCTTTGTGAGTATATACACAGATAGAAGAGATTTTATAAGAATGGGGGATAATTTTAGTCCTGCACTGTTTCACTACCATTTTAAGTTCAGGTGATACTCAAGAAACCCTATTACCACCCTTCTAATAAAATGGATCGACTGAATTTAGATTTGTGATACATTTATTTTTTAATAATGTGGGAGGAATACTGAACTTGTTTGGAAGTACTTCATACAAATGAATAATATCTGCCAAATTGCTTTTTCTCTCCTTATTTATCTGGTGGATGATCCTTGATAACTTTCCTTAAAAGAAATAACCAACCCAAAAATAAGTCTTTGAGAAAGCACAGTAGGCTGTGACTGCCTTACCGGGCCGAGAGAGGTGTGTTGCGGAGAGTCAGCTGATGGTCCACGTGCGGTCCCCTGGGCAGGGGGCCGGGGGTGTATTTCCTTGTCAGCTTGCCACATGCCTGATCCTTTGCAGTATTCTCTACCACAGACTCTAATCATACTCTGACTTACTGTAAATAAAGTGGAGCTTTATATACCCCAGACTGAAAATTTGAAATTGCATGGCAATTTCTGAAGTTTGTGACCAAAGAGAATTTCTTCTACTTAGGTTTCCTAAAGCTCTAAAGACCCTTCATAAATGCATACTTAACACCATCCCTGAGTGGCAGATAACTTGAAATCTCTAAAAGTTTAAGCATGGAAGCAACCTAGGTGTCCATCAACAGATGAATACATCAAGAAAAAGTAGCTGTACATACATGCAATGGAATATTACTCAGCCATAAGAAGGAATGAATTTGAGTCAGTGCTAGCGAAGTGGATGAACCTAGAGCCTGTTATATACAGAGTGAAGTAATAAAAATATATATTAATGCATGTATATGGACTCTAGAAGAATGGTACTGATGAAACTATTTGCAGGGCAGGAATAGAGACCAGACAGAACAAACTTGTGGATGCTATAGGGGAAGGAGAGGGTGGGATGAACTGACAGAGTAGAATGGAAACATGTTGGTACCATATGTAAAGGAGATAGCGGGAAGTTCCTGCGTAGCTCAGGGAGCTCAGCTCTCCTGTCCTCTGATGACCTAGAGGGGTGGCGTGGGGAGGTGGGAGGGAGGGGATATATGTATACTTGTGACTGATGAATGTATGGCAGAAGCCAACACAACATTGTAAAGCCAGTATCCTCCAGTTAAAAGTTTTACATTGAATTTCGGGCCATGGAACTCTGTCATGCCATAGTTTATACTTGTGTAACTACAGTGTTCATGTTGGTCAGATCTCTGATTGATTGCATTGTATTAATTGTCCAGTTCTTAGGTTATTAGATTCAGATCATCCAGTTAAGTCATTTTAGGTTTCGGCTTTTGCCAGACTGAGTTGATCATTAGCTACTTTTGTTTGAACAACAGAGGATATGTTTTTAGTGGCCTTGCACATGCTAAGTATACAAAGCACCTGACAGGCTGTGGGAACAGAAGGTGTTTGGTATCCTTTGTGTCTTAGTTTTCTATTGCTTCTGTAACAAACATCACAGGTTTATGGCTTGAAACAACACAAACTCACCTGACGGTCCAGGCCGTCAGAAGGTTGAAATGAGTCTCACTGAGCTGGTGTTGGCAGGTGTTGGCAGAACTGCATTCCTTCTGGTAGGAGAGAATCTGTTTCCTTACTTTTTCCATCTTCCAGAGGCCCCCAGCATTGCTTGGTTCATGGTCCCTTCCTCCATTGTCAAAGCCGACAACTTAGCATCTTCAAATCTCTGAGCCTCCCGCAACCCTCTTTTATGTCAAAGACATTTGTGATTACATTGGACCCAAGTCAGTTCAAGATTCTTAATCCCAGCTGCAAAGTCCCTTTTGGCATGTAAGAAACATTCGAAAGTTCCAGAGGTTAGGATATGGACATCTTTAGTGGGCCATTACTCTGCTTACCACACTTGATAATGGTAGAACCCTGTAGTAGAATTTATTTTAGCAAAAAGTTCAAGTTTGTATTTTAAAATTGTATCTGTCAAAGCCTCCAGTGTCCTGTGTGTTTCTAACCCAGTGGTTACTTTCTGTTTCATGGGCTGTAGCCCTCCAGGCTCCTCTGTCCATGGGATTTCCCAAGCAAGAATACTGGAGTGGGTTGCCATTTCCTTCTCCAGGGGATCTTCCCAACCCAGGGATTGAACCCGCATCTCCTGCATTGGCAGGCAGATTCTTTACCACTGAGCCACCTGGGAAGCCCCCATAACTTTAGCAACATTCAATTGTCTCACTTCCTTGTTTTTGAATTTTTTTTTTTTTTACTTTATGAAACTTCTATCACACTTCTGATATTCCTTACATCTTTTTGACTGCTTCTGTATCTGCCAGCTCCTCCTTTTATGCTTGACCTCAGGTCTGGTCTGTACTTTCTAGCTCTGGTCTCCAAAGAGAAAATGTAGGATTCAGTATCTTCCGAAATCTTTCAAATCCCTATATCCTGCCTGCAGCCATGAGCGCCAGAATTTAATATCATAGTTGCTGCTCCACCCTAACTGTTAGTAAGCATCTCAGGTTTACCTGTGGAAAACAAATCTTAATTTCTCAACCAAACCTATTTCCCCTCAACCTGTTACCATTCCACTCATGGGCACTGCCTAATACTTCTTCAAGCTGAAAGACATAAAGTCCTTGAGTCTGTTCTCTTACCCTATTTTTAGTCTCTGTGTAAGTCCTGTGGGTTCTTCTGAGTCTGTACTTGACTCATCTCTACAGTTACCACCCTAGGCCAGGCTGTTCCCATGTGGACTATTTTAGTGCCTAACTGTTCCCATTTTATCCCTACTCCCTCACCTCACCTTCATCCCATCCGTCCTCTGCATAGGAAAGCTAGTCACTTGAGGGTTTGAAGAGGCCGAGTGACTGTCTTGTTTAAATCCACAGTATCTTCCTATTATACCATATTTTCACTATTTTCTGACTGCTGCCCTCTGTGACTTCATTTGTCCCTTGTTTGTACTTCCTTTAGCCATTGTGGCTTCAATTCTCATCTTTTTTTTTTTTTTTTTAAGATTTTTGTTTTTGATGTTGGATCATTTTTACAGTCTTTATCGTATATGTTACAATATTGCTTCTGTTTTATGTTTTGATTTTTTGACCACAAGGCATGTGGAATCTTAGCTCCCCAACCATGAATCGAACCTGCACCCCCTACATTGGACGGTGAAGTCTTAACTACTGGACCACCAGGGAAGTCCCTCACAAGGCCTTTGACTTGGCTTGCTTGCTATTTCTGCTACTTGCGCCACTCTTATTTAAATATTTGCATGGCTNCATGAATCGAACCTGCACCCCCTACATTGGACGGTGAAGTCTTAACTGCTGGACCACCAGGGAAGTCCCTCACAAGGCCTTTGACTTGGCTTGCTTGCTATTTCTGCTACTTGCGCCACTCTTATTTAAATATTTGCATGGCTGGCCCTTTCTTGTGATTCAGGTGTCTGCTATTTTGTCCTATTTAATCTTCCTGCTATCTGAAATAATCTTGTCTATTTTCTGTCTTCACCAATACTGCTTTTCTTAAAAAGGTGGTTGGTATATTGGAAGTGTTCTCATAGATGTTGAAATAAGTCCCTAAACAAGCATCAAATTGCACCAGACCAGGGAGATGATTTTTCACCTATCCCCCATGGAGCAGACCTTTCTCCCCACTGAAAGTCAGATATGGCAGGCACCTACCCAAAGCACATGCCTCTCTCCAGTGAATTCACGTATAGCTTCAGCTGACCTGAGATTCAATCACCTACAAGGATTTCTGCTCGTGTGATAAGTCTCCCCATCTCCACTCTGCTTCCCATTCATTCTTCTTCTGCAGCTTCCTCTCCACATCCTAATCTCATAACTCAAACCCTGACTAATTTTTAATAATTTACCCTATGCATCATTGCTTCTCAGTTTTAGTGTCATTTAGAGGTTTTTTCCTAAGCAACTAGGATTGAGTACAGTCAATTCTCAAGAATATTTCATGTCAGTAAATTAAACACAATATTATTATTATTATTATTATTATTATTATTATTATTTTGGCCACACAGTATGTGTTATCTTAGTTCTCTGACCAGGGCTGGAACCGGAGCCCTTTGCATTGAAAACACAGTCTTACCCACTGGACTGCCAGAGTAGTCCCAACACATTCATTTTAATGGCTATGAAATAGTAAAGATGTACCATAATAACTTACAGATTACATTTTTTAACAGTTCAAATTCAGTGGAATTATTAACTTAGCTGCCTGTTCCTCTTTCAGACCAAGGTGGAGGCAAATGGATGTAACTTTTCAGGACAGAGCAACAATAAAATGGGGAATTGAAAATGCAGACCAAGGGAAAATATTTCTTTAGTAGGAACCTTGTGTTCTACACCTGAATATTTTCAGACAGTGGTTC